CCTTTTCATGTCCTGCAGCCACATTGAAAAGCACTGCAAACAAGTACAATCATGCTCCTGATCTCGTCACAACTGTCTCTCCTCCTGTACAATAAATTCTGCATGCTATGGTCACCAAATGTCAATAGATGCATATGCCAATGCAGCAACTGAAGCCAGCTACAGCCACATCATCTTCCTAATGCCAAATTCCTACCAATGCAACAGTAGCTTGGGCTCGAGCTAGGCAGTCCCCCCTGCAAATGGCTTTATGTTATCCCTTCAATTTATTTCTAAAATTCTATAGACCTTTTCGCCCTCCGTCGCATGGGTGCTGCGATCTTGAAATCACGTGACACAGCGGTCATTAGGTGGCTTCAAATTGTCACTCGTTTCTCCCCTTCGCGTTCTATTCGTTTTTTCGTCGCATTTTACTGCAATTTTACAGTGAAGCTGTATATGACTCCGTTGGTCAGGTTTTTTTTCCGTCTGTTAACAGAACAGTAGTGGACAGAAAAGCATTGTGCGGCGCACCTTGTCTTCTATCGCATAGTTTTGACACTTGTAGTTTTCAACAAGAAAACCACAAGTGTCAAAACCACAAGATAGATGACAAGCCATGCACAAACAATGTGAAGTACATAGCTCCCCGCATGCGTCTCGGTAAAAATTGCGGTTGCGTAAGCTGCCGTGGCAACGGCAACGTACAGCCGTTTATCTAGACCCTTTTGCTGTTTACAAACATGAACTGCCGCTTGTGTCCCAAGTGACTTCCGGTCGCTCAGTCTTTGCAAGCCTGTTGAGCTTGTTCATGTCACCAGTGCTAGAAAGCATAATCTCCAACATACATCAAAGTTGGAGATTTAATGAGGGCATTTGCCTGTACAATTTAATGTCTCGGAGGAGGCAAGTTGGTGTACAAAATATTTGAAACATTTTAACATATCTGCCGTTTCTTCATTCTTTTGGCGCTCACCTGGAGAATTGGTGGTTACACGTTTTATCGACATTTCAGGCAGCAGTGCAGTGATGTGATTGGTCTAAGCCATTTTGGAGCACATTTTGGAGCAGCCAAAACAGTGTTTTGGAGCAGCAAATGTGGCCTTTGGAGCAGCCAAGACAGTGTTTCAAAGCTAAAAAAGTGACTTGTGGAGAATATATTCTTAGAAAAATAAATATTTGTTTTAAGTGCTGGACAAACGAAGGGCACTATGTGTTGTGTTGTGATGTGACGTGTTGGGGCGGAACTCACTGCCTGTGTGTTTGCTGCTGAGACATCCCACAAGTATACAGTGCTGTAGGCAATGCCGAACAATTCCGAAAAAAAAAAAAGAAAAAAAAAAAAACTTGCTATTGTTTTACTGGTTCCAGACGTGGCAGATTTTTATAAAAAGTAAGCAAATGTAAAACAATGGATTGCAAGCGTCCCGGCTGGTGCCTCTCGTGCAATCATGTTCACCTCCTCGTGAGGGCAACTTCGGCAGGCTTGCAGTTACACGTGCTTCGTCACGCGCGCGGAAGCAACGGCTGCTCAATCAAAACCGAAACCATGCCACTCCGCTCCGTCGCCAACTGGTTCCCAAAATAGTATGCAAAATGTAATTGTCCAGCAGACGACAATAAACAGTCCAGCGGAGCGTGCTTGCCAGGCCGGCAGGCGAGGTACAGGCTAAACACACAGAAAAAAAGAACCTGAGCGTATCGATGCAAGACATTGCGATCGAATCAGGGTAAAAAAGTTCTTGGAGCGCTTAAATTTGTGCAACGACTGAACTCGAGACAAACAAGCGCGGTGTGCGGGTTCAGCGTGCAGACATTGCCTTCTTTGCTTTAGCTCACTTCTCGTCATCAACTTTCTTTCGCGGCAGATTTCTCACGTACTGGGGTCCCTCTCGAAAGAAAGCTTATCGAGAAAAACCTAGGTAATCAAAACTTCGCCAAGCAGTCATTGAGTTAAGGAGGGATCTTTATAGCAGCGTATGATTTAAACAAGAGCAGGAATGTCGATGCGTTTCAGTTTAGAAAGTGCCATATCTGTAGCGACGTGGGGACGGACACATACGACGTCGCGCGATCACGGCGAAGGTGGTCGCGCGAGCGCTTCAGCTCACGAAGTAACTCTAGCCGCGCAAGTAAAGGGCTGTTTATACTCCGACGTTGAGCGCAGTGAACGCAGCGTAGCGCAGAACGCGCGCCGTTCATTGGCCGGCAACCAGAAACTCGATATCTGCGACCAATCCGTATCTGTGCGGGCTGCGCCACGCCCGTCGACGTTACGTTTGAGTATAAACGTACCTTAAAGGGATTGTCCGGTCAAATTTTGTATCCGAGAAAACAATTGAATATCATTGTTATTGCCTCGAGACGGATCGTACGCGCAATATCTGAATTTTATATGTCCCTCTGCGTGAGTAATTGAATTTATGCTGCTTTAATCGCATTCTAGCGTAAACGCTGTTTTTGTTGGCAACATTGAAGCTCTGACGTCATAAAACACAAAGCGAGCATTTTCGTCTGCCTCAGCGTGCTTCGTTTTTGTTGTTGTGCTCGACTTTTTTCGTAGTTGGGTGAGATTTTTGTTGCGCGGTTGGGTGCCACAACCACCGGGCAGCACATGCAAGCCAAGACATGACGTGTCACACTTTTCCGCGAGATGTGCAGTGTCGAGCGAAGTGGATCGTCACCGTGCGTAGGGACTAGGTTCCTGTCAAGATCGAGATCCCGCTTATGCAGCAATCATCTCACAGAAGAGAGCAACGAGCTGAGCTCTAAGCGGACAGGAGGCTCGCTGAGGTATACGTGTGATGCTGTGCCAACGATATTAAACTACGTCCATCCACTCCTCACCCAAATCGGATCAATCAATTTGATTATGCAGCGATACCGAAACCAAACATCTGGAAACGATACCATAAAGGCCCGTACACACTCTTGCGACCGAGTACGACTGAGAGAGACGAGATCTCTTAAGGCCCGTTCACACTCTTGCGACCTCTTAAACGTGGGTTCCTTAAAACTTCTTAAACCAGAGAACACACTGGCGCCATCTATTGGGAAGCAGTGTAAACTCGGCGGTCCGGCATATTTTTTTTTATTTCTCGCGCATTATCCTTTCTTTCTTGGCTCGAAAAACTTTTGTCAATGTTATAGCCGAGCCTTTCTATGGGTATTACGCACATTTGACCTCGGAAATCCTGCAAAACCTTCGCTCTTGTGAAATGCAGTTCCAGGCTCACCGCATAGATGGCGCCACAATGCCAGTGTGTTCCCTCATTCTAAAAACATTTAAGAAGTTTTAAGAGATCTCGTCTCTCTCAGTCGTACTCGGTCGCAAGAGTGTGAACGGGCCTTTACTTCTTAAATGTTTCTAGAATGAGGGAACACACTGACATTGTGGCGCCATCTATGCGGTGACCCTAGAACTGCATTTCACAAAAGCGAAGGTTTTGCGGGATTTCCGAGGTCAATAGTGCGTAATACCCATAGAAAGGCTCATTTATAACATTGACAAAAGTTTTTCGAGCCAAAAAAAAAAAGGATATTGCTCGAGAAATAAAAAAAAAAATATGCCGGACCGCCGAGTTTACACTGCTTCCCAATAGATGGCGCCAGTGTGTTCTCTGGTTTAAGAAGTTTTAAGGAACCCAGGTTTAAGAGGTCGCAAGCAGTCGCAAGAGTGTGAACGGGCCTTAAGCTGTATTTAGCACGCGTGCAGCCCGATTCTGTTTGACCCGCTTGTGAAAGTGGAGCGTGACTACGATTCACCAAGCTTCTCCAAGTCAAGTGACAACATGCATTTGAACGATTCGCCGTTTGTGTCCGACCCGCGGACATCACCTCTGAGGGAACGATCCGCAGCCTCATCACCGATCCAGTGGATCCGCTCACATGTGTACCCAGAGGCCGCTTCGTGTACTTAGGTGCCGCTTCAGAGGCGAAATCTGCATCCTCTGCTTTGCAAGCGCCCCTAGTTCGATCGGTGGCCGTCGCAGTTGTGTTTGCTCGAAACGGCATATACGTTTGCTCGAAGCTTGTGGCTGTCTGCGAGTAATTTGCTGCTAAAAGGCGTGACTTTTTTTGCACATGCTTGGGAACTGCGTTAAAAGAACCGTATTTAAGTAGGGTAGCCTTGGCGACTATATAATTCGAAACAAAATACAAGACATCCATCGACCAACGCTTGTTATCCCGACCATCCGACAAACCTTTGCGTTTTGTGACGTCACGCAGCACCTACGGATGTCAGCCATTGACACTGGCGAAATTCGGGGTGCAGTTTCGTACATAGGCTCATGAAAGGTTTAATTAATAACGGGAGATCATATATCAAAATAAAAATGATGTTAGTCTACATGAAGGCTCCCTCGACGTAACGAGCGCAAGAACTTAAGTACTTCCGGTTTCGACCGGACAATCCCTTTAACTCTCGCCGCGCGGCATGTTTGGCACTCGGCACACTAACATCGGAGGGTGTGCACACGCACGCGTCTATCGCAAAAAATATTTAAAAAAAAAAGAAAAAGAAAAGAAAAAAAAAAGACGCGGGATGAGATTTCCCAGACGACGAGAGCGCGAAACGCGAGACGACGGGAAAAATCATGCAAGACCGAATAGCAATTGATGTAGGGTACTTTGTGTCCGGCGGCGTCTTTTGTGCCACCAAGCTCACGCATGCTCACTTGCGGTTTTCAGTTTAGTTCCGTTTTTGAAAGGCGACCAAAATTGGTCCTTTGGCGCAGGCTTGGCGCAGATTAGCCATATTTTGGCGAAATGTAGCAGGATGTGGCAGGGTTAGCCCCTTGGCGCAGTTTGGCGCAATTGGCGCAGCAATCACATCACTGACAGTGTCAAAGTGGGTTTTGTTCATTCTTGTTATGAATCAGAAGTTTGCTGAGACATCAAACAAACTGAAGCACCGCCTGGTGGCGCTTGCAAAGAAAGGGGTCTATATAAAAGAAGTTTCGGTACACTGCGTTTCGACTGTAAAACGTGGTCCGCAGGTAACGTGCACTGTCATAAAAGAAATACCAACAATTTACTTATATGAAAGACACGAGGGAATGGGGTACAAGACTTGATCCATCAAGAGGCGCTGGGCCTAAAGAGAACTTCCATCTTGCAAGGCTTGATCCACGATTCAGGGTGGTTTGAAACCTATGGTGTATATGCAGAGAACGAAAGTGCCTATTAGGTAAACAGAAACAGTACCTTACCCGAACATGTAGGGCAACGCACAGTAGTCGGGTGCAATAAACTCGCACTTGAGCAAATGTCGGTTTAACAAGTATTTCAGAATAACAAACTTTCAAAAATCTATGGTGGTTTTCCTTTGCATTCTATGCAAAAATGTTTGCTCTACGAAAAACGAATTTCGGAATAGCGAATATTTCAGTTCAACGAACTTGATCGGTGGACCCAGGATTACTGTTGTGATCAGTTCAACAAAGTTTTGTGCTCTGCAGTGCTGGCGTAGCTGATGGCTGCCGCCGCCTTTGCAGCAGTGGTGCGGTAGACAAAAACGAACCATGCGGTGCATATTTTCTTTTCTTTATTATTGGTTCCTTTCGGCCATCTTAGTTTTGGGTAACAACGGCAGTTTGTGCGCCCACTTACGTAATAAGTATAAAGAAATGGAAGCGGTTGTCTGTCAGACAAATTGAAATACTTTCAGCGTCTGGGCAACGGTCAAAGGCAAGTGAATGTTGCGAAGGACTATCGGATGCTACCGTCGACGTTGTCAACGTTAGTGAAGCAAAAGTCGAAGCTTGAAAGAGAAACTGCGTTCAATCCCAACAGGGAACGGCTCTGCACTGAATATTTCAAGCCAGTGGACAGTGCCGTTGCGATATGACTTCCTCACAGCAACTAGCTGTGCCAGAGGATATGCAAAAAAAAAAAAAAGATACTCTCTGGGCAACTTTGTTACTTCATGCGCTTTCAGAGCGCCGGTGCAAATGAAAATTATTGACTATTTTCAAAATGAGAAAGGCAGCAGCGTAACTGCAATACACTTTGTATATATCAATGTACATGACTCCATAAATTGCATTTCACCCTTTTGACTCAATGTATGCTGTGCCCTATGCTGTTCCATAATCCAGTGAATATATTCAGTTTAGTGGACTCCTAGCTAAGGGAACTATTTCTTTGAGTCCCTAGAAGTTTGCTCAAGTGGGAGTTTACTGTATAGAGTTCCAGAACTTAAACGATACTGGCTATTGAAGAATATAACAGGCAGCAAAACATTCACCACAACAGAGATCTTGAAACATGCATTGGTAGTCCAGCAAGTTATGTTTCAAAACAAATTTGTGCGCACAAACAAGAAAATTGCCCTTTTACCACACTATTGAGGCAAAGGCACTGGTAAGTCCTCATTCATACAAAAATTGATCACTAACCCGTCAGAATGTCCAGCAATAGGTTTCGTGGCACTTTAGATTCCGATCGTTGTATACACTTCTGATTTTATCCCTTATGGGAGGGGTGAGGATGAGAGCTTTCTCAAACAAAATATAATGGTGCAAGGTAACTAGTGTAGGTAAATGTTAAAGGGGTCATGAATCGATTCTTCAACTTCCTTCTTAGCTTTCCTCAACTTACAAATTGTGCAGTGTTACCAAAGGTACAGGGGCATAAGTATACCTCTAGCAGTTCAAGAGGAGGAAAAGGAGGAACTCCCCTCTTGCTCATGGCGCTTGGATCCTCATTTTTGTACTCGCACGTCACCATTCTCCCCCTAGGAAATTGGCCCTTGATGCTCGTCGCTCAACATTCAGACAAACGTTGCAAATCCCCCCCTCCCCAGCCTGTGGCTTCCACAGTACTATGCACAACTAGCATATAAACCGGAATATAGGTCGAATTTATTCTTGAAATTGGACCTGAAAAAGTCGACCCTCGTCTTATATGACGGTCATTAGCGGAAAAACAAAAATAATCTCGCAACACTCAGTGCCTGAAGACGCCATTTTGTTTTATATTGCAATGGCCTAGCACTCGTCCACTTGTCACGATTAACTTTTACTTGTGCTCCTTGGTTTGTTACATCTACCGCAGCAATAATGAGCGGAAGTAGAAGACAGTTCACAGTAGCCTTTTAGAACAAGGCAATCGCCTATGCAGAGATCCACCGGAATCTTGCAGCGCAGCGAGAGTTCAGTGTATCGGAGAAAAGCATATGCTACTGGCAAAACCAGAGACAAAAACCGGCGGCGTGCAGCAAGGCGAGGAAAACTTAATTTCGTGGAAGGACTGCAGTGTACCCCGAATTGGAAACAAAGGCGGCAAACTTTATTCGGGATCTGTGCGCCAGATCGATACCTGTGATGTCGGAGAGCATCCATATAAAAGGCGTTGAGGTTGCTCGTGCCTCCGAGCTTTCGAGGGCGCAATTCAAAGGGACGGCATCGTCCCTTTAAATTGTGTTAGTGAACTCGTCGTCGGACGAAGGCTCTGAGGAATCTGAGTAGTAACACTCGCATACTTCCTGTTTTATTGAGTGCAAAACAATTAAATAAATCTGCCGTGTTTTCTCGTCCTTTCATATACTTGGACAATTTTGTCACCAAGGTAAGGTTGCGTTTTCTTGCCATAAAAACTTCTTTTGCATCTTGCAACTTGTAAATTAAGGGGTCGACCTATATTCCAGTTTATACAGTATCTTCCCTGCACCCCTAAGCCGACAGTGCTGTGGAAACTATGTGCTCGTTGGGCCGGTCACACTTGTATCTTCAGCCACATGATCACGCTCCCTTGCACATACACACATATGCAGAATGGGGTCAGGTGATGATGGACAGGAGGGCGGGCGAGGTTTGTCAACTGAAGTCCCAATTTTTCAACCCCGCAAGGATGGTGAGAGATCTCACGGTAGCTGATGTTGGTTCTGAACCTTACTTTATCCCATTGATGTATTTCAATGTCTGTGTGGCAACAAGCTGAAAGAAAACTTGAAAATGAAGCACAGGTTGTCGATTGCTTGCTTCACAGAATAAATAGCCCAGCTCGCGTCCGATTTTGCTGCCCGTGGGACGCAGTTTCTTAGCAGAAAATCTCCTTTTTTTCGGTTCTCGTTCCTTATGGCGGAAAAACCCCAGTCGTCTGCTCTTGTTCCTCTCCCGAGTGATGCATGACGGGAGTGCATTCTGGTGCACACTTGATTCTCAAGGTGCAGCGAGTGCATAGACGTGTGGAGTGGCGACGCCGAAATGAACGCGTGGAGTGTCGGCCGAAACAAACATGCTCCATGTTGCGAGTGGGTATGCATGGGCACGAGTGCCCATGCATACATGTAGTCATACACTGTGCACGAGCATGTGGCTTCGACTTTTATCTTGTTTGCGTGCAGAAGTGGCTTCAACGGCATTGCAGAAATTACACTAGCCTTGACAATGAAGTACAAAAAGGTTTACGCCAAGTCTAGACACTGTTGCAAGATCACCGAGCCAGGAAACCTAAACCGAGCCACCACTAAATGTGTTCCGTTTCAAAATGGTGTAATTGGCAAGACTGAACCGCCACCAAATGTGCTCTGCGGTAGAGCACAAAAGTACATCACCAGACATGAGTGTCCAAAATGTACTTACAATGGCTAGCGGCGCCTCATAAAAGTCATGCAATGACCCTCTGCTTGGCCACTTAAGCCACACGCAGTGCCGTGCAGGGTACAGGACGGCATCCATGGTGCAGTGATCCAGGGTCCCGCCCGTAGTGTTCCGCTGCTGCCTTGGACAAGGTGAAAGCCAGCTCACTGATGTCATGGTCCCCGGTACCTGTGGTGTGTAACCATTGTGTTTAAAGGTTATACAGCCACCGACCGATATTGCAGACCCGATGGGGATCGTGCAGAATTCCGAATAATTGAGCAGTATGAAAAAATGATTTTAGCCTAAAAATCACTTTATTATTACGACTTAAAACGCAAAGTTGCTGCAGCAAGTGATCGATGGTTTGCTGTACGGCATGGTACTGTATGGTACTTCGCATTTCAGCGAGTCATTTTGTCACTGTATACAGACGAAAGCATTCGGACAAGTTACGCGCTCACGGCTGCACAATGCTCGCCAACTGTAGGGCCAGTCGGTAGACTTTCCCCTCGGTGAAGGGCAAAGTCCGGTTTGTAAACGCTGTGCCGCTGGAATAAATGCGCAGATTGATCGCTACTTCCTTGGCGATACAATCGCTGCCTTCTCACGTCGACACACGGGAAATACCGCAAACAAAAGCAGACGCCGTCATGACTTTGCAAAGTAAAACCGGAGAGGCCAAGAGCAGAAGAATTGCTTAGAGTGCTGACGTGCTACGAGGCATCAGCAACCAAAACCTGCCATTTAAAAAAAATATATACTAGTTTCTTAGCAGGACGTGACGTCACGACAACTGACAGCAGTGATTGGCAGGCGGTGTGCATTCTTGCCACTGAATTCATAACCTGTCACCGAATGTAGTTTTTAAACATGGCAGATATAATCTGGCCTGTTTTCGTCCACAATGCTGCCGCCTAGTCTGTCGCATAAATTATTTTTGTTGCTAAGGGGCAATTGGGGCTTTACGTAAACATAGGCTGGACGTGCGTGTGGGAAAAATAACACGAATGGCGGCCCCCAACATTGGCTCTTCAAACAAACTGCCAGAAAACAAAAAGGCCAATATGTCAACATTTTTGTCCTTTCCCCATTTTTGGTGGCTGTCGTGTCAGATTGAAGTATAAGTAACTAGTAAAATAAAAATAAATAAAAAAGTACATAACAAAAGGTGTAAATAAACTCTGTAGATATAATACCAGTCCCAATGGTTTAACAAAGAGGCTGGCTTTCTCAGAATGCCCCCCTCTCACTCGAGTCCGTATTGAATCTTAATATGAAGTTGCCCCGAAAAAGCTGCAGAAAATGCACATAGTGACAGAGCCCATAAAGACCACACCTGCCTTTCGAACTAGATGCAGTACAGGACGCAGAACGGTACCCATGGGCTAGCTGCAGCTGTAGCCCAGTGCTTGTAGTATCTCGCAGCTGATGGAAGGGAGGGAGGCCAGCTCCTTCATGCCGTGGTACCGGGAAAAACAATACAGATGAGCCACAGACGTCAAGCGCCTTGAGTATTTCTGTGCATCCACGAAGCCAATCTGGGACAGCAACGACAGAAAACTTCAGTAACACAGTGAACAAAAGAGTAGGCATGCAGGCGAGCTGTGAATTCTGAACACAGCTAAAACCCAAGGCAAAAGAAAGCAGAAAGGAAGAGGCCTTTCCACTTCCTTGCATGTCGGGTTTGAGTCTCGCACGGGGTAGCAGAAAAGCAACAATACTGGCTCCCTAGTCTTTTTCTGCGTCAAGAAGCCTTGGAACAAAGAAATCCTACTGGTTATTCATCTTGTTTTCTCTTCTCGGGCGGATTATAGTGCACGGTGCGGAAGCAAACTGCCTCGAAAGGGCTCAACTCACACTTCCAAGAAAATGATTGGCGAGCAACCTCTCCATTGTGTGCTATGTGCACTGTACGTTTTAAGCAGGTCTGTTTTCTGCTAACACAACAGCGGTAGGAATGTTACTTGTGTCGAGCTGGAGAAGCCATAGTGGGGGCTACCCCAGCTACGCCCACGCTGGCTCTAATGGCGGTTATGTGCAACGCAGACAGTTTTCCCCATTTCAACCGAGCGCCTAGGCAGACACAGAAGCAGCCACATAAGACGATCGAGGGAAGACGCAGAGTTGTACAGGCGAAGAGGGAACGACATAGTGTAGCGAGCTTTTTAGTCCAGGCTATTCCTCCGAGAAATGCAGTCGGTGGAAATGTATATCAGTTGTTCTTGCCATTAATTTAGGTAACGAATGCAAACATTATACTATTTTGCATCTTTTTCTACTGCAATGCTGGTCACCCGCAACGAAAAAACGCCACAAACTGAAAGAAAGTCTGGTTGCAATGTTAACACGGACACCAAGTCCACCAGGAAAAGCCATCTGTGCCATCCACCTGTTCATAAGCGAGCTGGAGTTTATCAAAGCACAACCGAGACTCTCTCGGGAGTATTTGGTTCCTTGTCACTAGTTATTGAATGAAAACACAGTGCAGTGTTGATTACTGTCAGCGCAGCCTTGCCACTAGCACTGCTGTCACTCGGGTGGCACATATTTCGCTGGCACGACATGGCCTGCGAGCCACATATATCCCTAAAAGGAAGCTGCATAGAATGCACTTACCGTGGCTAGCGTCGCCGCCCAGAGAGCTTGCACAAAACCTCCGCATGACACGCAGTGCAGTTCAGAACAGAGCAGCACTGGCTAGCCAGTTGCTGCGAAGGCTTGCAGTGCCTTGCTGCTGCAAGTCACCTCCTTCATGCCTTGTGGTACCCATCAGTTTCAAAACAAACGCTGATGAACCACGACCAGCCATCACCTGTAGCACAAGGGGGAAAAACATATGAATGTGCAGTCTCCTATCTGTTTGCTTTTGTCTAACGTCTCTGAGTTTTCTTTGAGAAGAAGACAGCAATGACACTTCTTTCACAGTAATGTGCAAAAGAAACAAAAACGGCTCGGTTATTATACTGCCTCGTAAGTTGTGTGCAGCAAAGGCACGGGTGCGAGGGCACAGCTCTGCAGAATGTCCTTTTGCGCGGGTACTCGTGCAAAAAAGGCGCTTTTTACTGTCATGTGCTCGGGCCTGCGCCTCTGCTGCACACAACTTATGATACAGAGTGTATAGCACGCCTCCGTGAGCACTCGCGTACGGCGAGAAATCCATGATATCCAGGGTACGATAGCAGGAAACCTCGCAAGGATGCACGAGGCTGCAAGTGCGCCAGAATGTGCAACTGGAGGTGGTGACAGAATGACATAGTTTGAGAACATGAGTTTACTTGGGTCAAAATATAGAAGCGAAAAACGTAACTTCCTTGCCGGCTGATGTTTGGAGCCATCGGAGCACGATCAACTATTTGTTGTGATCGGGGTATTACGATCGGACGCGGGTTGGTAAAGATTTGAAAAACCCGGAAGAATAAAACCTGTTGGGGGCGAAGACAGACAGCGCAGTTCCTTGTTGACATGGGATGTAATATCAAACACATTATTCCGCCGGATCAAACGTTTTTGTTTAATCAGGCTTAGCTCGGAAGTCTGCCGGCAGGTCTGGGATGCGGTTTTAGAGCTCTTTTGGCGGGCTTTCAGGTTTCTGCGATGCGTGTTTTCATCGTGAGCACAGGCCAAATGTATTTGAAACGAAGAAGCAGCTCGGACACGTGGAACGAACACATCGAAATCACATCACAGGAAAACGCAAATCACTCACCTTTCGTTCGACGATGGTTCGCAAGACACGATTCAAATCGCCGACACTCGATTCGGTCACGATATTCAGGTAAAGGACGCAACAACGTAGGCCTTGCCGTTCCTAATAACTACATAAATACGACGATACGACACGATATCAAACAAAGGAGTCGGAAAAACGCAATCTGAAGCGCAGAAACGCGGTCCCGCGGTTGCAAAAAACAAGAAAATAAACAAAAAAAAAAAAAATAATACGTCAACAAAGTAAAAATAAAAAAAAAGGTTCCTCGCTAAAAACCGTGACGTCACAGAAAACAAAACAAACAAAACAAAATTTCTTTGTCACGTGACGTTATATTTGTGACGTCACTTCCGGTGACGTCGGGTCACGTGACCTGCCATTATTCCTCCTCCGAATCGCTCGTGAGGAGAATGGGTCGAGCGCGTTGCATGCCGGTCTGCCGGTCGCGGGTCGACTCCTTCTGTCTGCAAACATGGCGTCGGTGGTGATCGTCGACGTCGGGGTGAAAGTTCATCGTTCCGCGTAAAAGCGCTAGCCTTGACTGTGAATTTTCGTCGTGTGTCGCTATGATAACCCAGCACGTATTAGAAGGAAAGATCCACCTACTCGTGCGGCGATGTCGTGGTTGTACTCTCAAGACAGCAGAAACGCCCGTGCCGTCGTGTTTGTTTACTTCGACTACAGTGGTGCTTTCTGAGCATTTGTGTCTTCGAACATCGCCCGGATTTCTGATTTGGCGCATTCCTTGCGTGTGCCCAAGTTCAAGGTATTACTGGAGCGTACCGTATAAAGGATGCGAATTTTTTACTCGTTTTCATCGCCCGAAAAAGGTGATTAGTGTTAGCAATCCTGAACGCTCGCATCGTCTGTCAAATTATATTTCTACGTTGCTATATCGTTGCTAAGATTACATCGTCTTTTATAATCGTAGAAAAGGCGTGTGGCGAGATTTGTACTGTTGGCAAAGTCGTGTATTAAAGTCGTGATCGTGCAAGACGGCGTACTGCATCTCTTTCTTCTTTTTTTTTTTTTTTTTTTAATGCACTACCCTGCAAGCTTATCCTGAAAAGAGTAATAAAGCTTGAGGTCATAGAAGACGGTCTGTCTATTTTCTGTTACGCAAGTGAGTGGCAGCGCGTCCCCTTCTTTTTGGAGGCACCGCTGAAACAGCTGACGGCAACGGAGAGGCGGTCGCCGTGCTGCCGACCCGCTGCGCTTGTTGCAGTGGTTGCAGGTGTGTGTACGCGCGGCGCAGAGCGGTCGTTCCGGTCGCTTCGGTTGCAACGGACGCATCGCGCTCGTTGTACATGTCTGAACCAGCCTTTATGGTCCAGACAATATTAGCCCCAAAGCTCTTAGCAACACCAAAGTAATATCTAGTGAATTCCTCAGATTCATATTTTCTTAGTCATCACAGCAGGATTGCCTATACTCCGTTTCACCTTCAGTCCGAGCGCAGCAAACGCTAGAAGCTATCCCAGTCAATTCAGCGTTGAGAGAGTGTCATGTGACCTTGAGCTCTCTGCGTCGCTCTGGCCAACCGAAAAGTCACGCGATTTTCTCCCGACACTGGATCGGCTGGGATAGCTCGTGGCGTCCAGTGCGCTCGGCCTAAAGGTGGAACGGAGTATACCATTGGACTGAAAGCTGGGGAAGGTCATTCCGGTCTTTAAAAGCGGTGACCGTGTGCTGGCCTCAAACTACCATCGCATATCATATTTAGAAGCCAATCATACTTTTTACAATCATCAACATGGATTTTGTAGAGGTTTTTCATGCGAGACGTAACTCTTTGAACTCAAACACAAGTTAATCACTAACCTTGACTCGCAGGGCCAAACCGATGCTGTATTCCTCGACTTCTCGAAGGCATTCGACAGAGTTCCCCATCGTCATCTAATTTCAAAACTTTCTATCCTGGGTATCGACCCTTTGGTCCTTTCTCGGATTCGTGACTTTCTCTTTTCTCGCACTCAGTTCACTGTGGCTAACAACCATATGTCAGATTTTACTAACGTTATATCTGGGGTTCCACAGGGGGCATTACTCGTTCCACTACTGTTTCTTTTTTTTATTAACGACTTATCAATTGTAGTCTTTGTCTCTTCGCTTACGATTGTGTCCTATATAGCAAAATTACTTTGTCTGATGACCATTTGAATCTTCCGAGTGATCTTGACCCGATTCATGCCTGGTGCTCCAAATGGCTAATGTCATTAAACATGTCATAATGTAAAGTACTTTGCTTTACTTGGAAACATGCAACATCATATTTTTCGTATTCCATTGGCTCTGGACTAATCATCTCTGCCTGCCTCCATCTATAAATATCTTGGTGCAACACTACCTAGTGACTTAACCTGGAATAACAACATTGAAACAGACTCAGCAGAGGCTTTGCGCACTCTCGGGTACATCAAAAGAAATCTGAAGGCGCCACCATCTCATCTCCGGAAAATGGCATACGAAACTTACGTTGGACCAAAGTTGGAGTATGCAGCAGCAATTCGGAATGCTCATCAAATTTATCCCATTAACCATCTTGAGTCAGTTCAAAATCGCACGGCCAGGTCGATTCTTAATGATCATTACCGAAGAACTAGTGTCTCTGCACTAAAATGCCAGCTGTATAAGTCGCGTCACAAGATATATCATGCTTAACGCCATTTCATAAAATTTTCTATTATAATCTAATGCTTAATAACTCACTCGTACTTCCTCCTTGAAGAGCATCGTCTCGACTAAATCACCCCCCATGTCACATATCTCGGATCACAAACTACTTCAACCAATCAGAGAGAGAGAGAGAATAAACTTTTATTCTGAGCATTTCAGCACAATGGTCTGTGCCGGAAGGAAGGGCTTCCCTCTTTACGGAGATCCTATATGCTGTCTTATCTGCCTGGCCCCTGTTGACCAATTGAAGCTGATTCTCCAGGGCGGGGCTGGACAGCAAGTTCTCCCATCACTCTACAGGGGGAAGGGTGTGGGCGGTGGGTGGTCTTGATTGAATCTACACTCACCTATTTTGTGACGGAGGGCTCCTATATCTTGGCACACTGGGCAGTTCCCACTGTATTGAGTGGGGAACATATGCGACTGAGTAAAAGGGGGTGGGGGAAGGACCCCGACTGAATTTGCCTATATGCTACCTGTTCCTCCAGCGTTAACTTAGGATGCGGGGCTGGCAGTCTGCGCCTTTCCTTGCAGTAGAATGCGACTAGTATTTCCTTTTAGGTGACCATGGGTTGGTCCTGCACCTCTTCCACGGCTGTGGCCTGGTAAGTCAGCGTGCGGGCATGCTGGTGAGGAAGTTTGTTGCCCTCTACCACGAAGGGGGCAGGTACCCATTCAAATTCTATGGGCTCCTTTGGGGGTCTTTTGTTTTTGAGCACCTGCAGCGCTTTTCAGGACACCAAGTCCGACTGGAAGCTCCGGTATGCTTGGTGTGAGTCGGTCATTACGCTGGTTGTGCCTGGCCATAAGTGACCCCGTCTTGTTCCGCAATGCTTTGATCACTCTTTTTGCTAGTGTATTTATGTACCAGTTTTATTTCACACACAATTGTTCTCACTGCTTATATTACTTACCAGCACTGTAGGTGTCAGCCACCTGTCTGTTCATGTGTTGATTTTTTGTATTTTTCATGTATTCCCCCCCCCCCCCCCCCCCCACAAACACACACACACTCCTTATGTAATGCTCCTGTTGGGGCCTTTAAAGTTACAATAAATAATATATATATATAAAAAAAAAGCTACCAGCAACATTGGAAGAATTTAGGAGCAACAATTTTGAATTCCTGTGCCGACGCGACGCAACTTCACACATACCTTGAGCACATTATATAACATTCCCACCCGATCTGATCGGCCTTCCTAATCAGTTTTATTTTCATATGTTCAGTGACAATGCAAGCCAGTTTTAGATACTCTACTTTTATAATATTACTTTTCCGTACTTCTCACTGCAACATTTTCATGGCGAGCATACTGTTCCCCAGATCACGAGAGCCGCACACAAGTAGCGAGCCTCAGTTTGGGCATCTAGGACGTAGTAAGCTGTTGTGCGTCTCGTACGCACTGCAAAATCTGCGTAAAACGATCCAAACTTCTTTCAGCAAGCGCTGTGACCCAAGGGGGTATCGGAGGTCGAGTGTGTTAGCGCACCGCAGCTCGTACGGCGAAAGGTCCCGCTGCCAGGGATCCCCACCCCTACCCGTTTCGATCTGTTGTGAGGCACAGACCCCAGGCTAGCAGTCGTACTGTAGTGGCTAAATTTTCTCATCTACAGCCTGAAACGGTGTCGCCAGAACCTAGACAGGCCGATCGCACGCTATTTAAAATAATGAACGTCTTATTTTCTTCCGCTGTGCCCAAAATGACGACAGTAAATGCGACTGAAAGACCAGCGGACAGGCTACCACTCTTGCCTTCGAATCACTCGGGAGTCGGGCGACCTGCATTTGCACCATGATCGAAGAACCAGAAAGAAGCGATGTCAAATCACATCGACAAAGAATCACACCAAGCTTCATTGCTTGTGCCCTTCAGCTCTGCGCGCCGTCAGCCGTATCAACACTAATCGCCTGCCGCGTGCGTTCCGCCGCTCATACAAACAACAACAAACAATCAGGGTGTTATGCTGCAGAAAGTTACTTCCGCCAGTTTTAGCGAAATGCGGAGCTCAACCTGGCTCAACCCCTGCTCAACCGACGTTATTCAAGGTATTGAATTTGGCGTAAGGGTAGTGTGTTTGGGGTGTGCGAAAAAGACTACGGTATTGACTATGGCGTACGCCAATATGACTACGGTATTGATTTTGGCGTACGCCATAACCACTACCGTAGTCGAAGCAGAGGGGTAGTGAGATCGGCGTCCTACACCGGTAACCCGAAGAGCTTAGTGACAGGTGTGGGCGAAAGGCTTCTACAGAAAATTAAACGAGAGGGCGTTGACAGATGTGAAAACACAGACAGGGTGCCAGTGCAGGTGATACCATATTTGCACAAAGTGTCCCACAATTTAAAAGAAGATGGCTGTTACACACGGGGTTAACGTAGTGTTCTCAGCCCCGTGCAAACTTTTAAAGATATGCTCCGCGATTTCGAAACAAAAGTTTGTAAGGCGCGCAAAAAAAGAAAAAAAGAAAACGTAACAAGATACATCGAATGCGTGACTAAGGTGGTTTATGAGATTCCCTTTAGTTACGGCCAAGTTTACATCGGTCAGACCGGCCGATGCTTTATTGAAAGAGCGCGGAACACAAGCTTGCCGTACGCAATAATTCGGGTGATCATCTTGCGGAACACTGGAAACAATTTGGGTGCGAACCTTTGTTAGAGCACGCAAGGTTTATTACAAAAGGTAATGAGAAGATGGAAAGAGAAGTGTTTAGGCGATTGCGATCAACTGTTTGACAATGATTCGTGTTTCATTAAATCAGTTGGAAGTTGGCGTCTGTCCGTGTCGTACGTGTCTTTTTTCGTCCTGTTTTGTTCGCGCCTTTTAAACAATAACTACAATGTACTTTCAAGTAAATTACTTTTAACGCAATTCTTCATGGTGCCTTTTCATTCCCCTATAGAGTGCCTTCTTGTTTTTATAATTGGTACACATTATTTTAACGGCAATCTGGGGTACATATTTTCGGAAATGGTGGCGAATATCGGATAAAGTCAAGTGGCCAAAGAACCAAAGAAGAGTAGTTTTACTGTCGCTGGTGGCTGACGAGATATTTAACAATCAGATACTTACTTATAAAAGGGTCGGAGTCTGTCGGTCCGTCGGGTCAGTGTAGGCGAGATCATGGCTTTAAAGCTAGCTTTCGCTCGAAGCAGTAACGCGACCGACTGCCATGGTTCACACCCGAGGGCTTGTTAGACTTTCTATTCCGTACTTTGACTGGTGTAGGGCTTTAGACTGCTGAAGACACCCTCCCTTCGCATCTACGGCGGAGGGTGTCATTGGAACCCTGGACACTCCGGAGTCTCGAGATACTACTTCGCGGTCGGACAAAGTACGGCCAACCGAATCGGTTGCCGTAAGGACCAATCGGGTGACATTTTCAAACTGATTTATTTCTTGCGATCAATCAAACAGGTATACACTCCACGCTATAATTAGGAATGTGTGAGAGAGAACCAGATCGGAGTTTATTGTTTCGCGTATACGCCTCGGTAGAGTGGTAGGTGTACACTCGTTTCAACATCATTCACTCACGGAATGTATTGGTTCATAACATGCTTTCGCGGGCGCCGCGGCCGCATTGCACGCGCATCCCGAGAAACGCCGACGGCACGGCAAGGTGCTCGGCGACGGTTCGCGGCGCGTGCAACGGAACCGCGTCGCCTCGATATAAAATCACAATTGCCACTTAAAAAAGGAGCTAACAAGTCGCCGGGGGACCGTCGCGGGACGCGCGGAGCCAAGAAGCGCGACGTATACCAACCGGGGAGAACTGGGAGGGGGGAAAAGGAGACATCGTCGTCCAAACGTCGCGAAAAAAAAAAACGAGCTACTTTCTTCGACGGGTCTGTTGTATACCTTGCCATTCCAAGAAGCCCTCCTTCGAAAACACCGCCAAAGAAAAAAAAAAAAAAAGTCCACGCCGCTCAAGTGCGGCGGTTGGCGATGCAAAATCCGTTCGCGGTAAACCGAACGGGCTCAGCCCACACGTTGACTGCCCGGGGGCCCGTTTCCTGAAGTAGTGGCAATAATACAAAAAGACAAATGAGAGACCTTCTCAACGAACACTGCGGTAAGGGAGAGACGCACACGCAACGTTGTGCACGCGCGTTTGAAACAAGAACTGTCGTAGCGGGTCGTGTATCCGATGATGCGTGTACTCGCTCCACGGATCAATGCGTCGTGTTTTCGGGAGAAAACGCGAGCAATCGTTCCAGCCTCAAAAAAAGAAAAAAAAAAAAAAAAATACCGTGGTTCCGTAACGTCCACCCAAGTCACAACCGTAGTATATACTGCAACCCGTTAAGAAGACGCCTTTCTTCGTCCTATAATTAAATACTTTTTTTTTATGCCTCTCACCCCGCCTTTTTGTTGCGTTAACTTTCTTTATCTCTTTCTTGATAAGATTAAAAAAAAAAAAAAGCTGGAGGAAGTTCTACAAGAACGAATTTTGCATTCCTTATCTTCCCCACTTCTTGCTCCTTTTGGTGGGGAGAGGGAAGAGGCGTGAGCTGTAGTTTTAATCGCGCCGATTGCAGGGAGGGCATTCCAACATCGCCGGCCGCTCGCATCTTATTCGAGTCGATTTAGGGAGGACAAATATGTAAGCTACATGATAGTACAGCTGCACATTTCGGGAGGTTTGGTGTGGGTCTGTGCAATACGAACTTTGTTTGTTTTTTGCTCGTTACCTTTCGGTGCTTGTCGGGTAAGTGGCGAGATTAAATGCGAACGACCAGTGAATCGTTGCGATCCGAACGTATTAGCGACGAATAAGAAAAAAAAAAAAAATTCCACCGGTATTGCGGTCGAGCCTTTTAGCTTGCTTAGTGTGCTCCCTGCATAGCCATTTTTTTTTCCCTCTTCGAGACATACTGCGCATTACGACGATGAAGCGTACGTTACAATAGTAATCAACATTTGATAGTTTTTTTTTCTTTTAAACACGCTTTCTTTGGCTTACATTCAATTTATTATCAACCTCCTTAAATTAGACACAGTCGGCGAGATGCGGGGAACATCACCACAACTCTGAGCATCTCGACGAGCGTCTGGTATACGCTCGGGGGAAGACGCTGAGAAAACACAATCTCAAGCTTCCTCCTTTAGGTCTTTCTGCAAGCTGCTGTATTCCCGTTTTTGTTCTAGAACCAAGTACGAAATGCCGAGCGCTGCCGCAGGGAGCACCCTAAAAGAAACGCTCACCAGTTGTCGAAGGGGAGTCGCGCGCGTCGTAACCAAAAACAGGGATGGGCCCGATAGGCAGAGGGGATCTTCAAGGCGGGATCCACGAAGAACGGGATATCTCGGGAAAACATGAGACGCAAATCGAGGCCCAAGAAAACCTAGAAGGGTGTGAAAGAACCCACTGGTGACAAGCGTGCGATATAAGAAAACCAAACGGCGAAGCAAATATTTTGACGGGAAGTGGTAACCAGACAACCGCCGCTAGCCGTGCACCGCCCCACGTGTCAATTTACGCTCACCTAATAGAAGAAAAAAAAAAAAAAAGGTACCGAAACGAGCCTTCTAGGCGCTTAATACCTAAAGTTTCAGAAGCTCCGCCAATGGCACAGCAGCTCAAATACTGGCGAACGGAAGCATCCTCCCAAAGCAAACGCACGGAACGTAACCGACTGATTTCTGTTTTCCTCGTGTGCCAAGTTTTCATCGGTCAAGTATCTCGGCTAAGCATCCGTCGGAAGGCCACGACAGATGTTTCTTCTTCTTGTCCTGCGCGCTTGATTTTGAAGATAACGGAACGCCGACCGACCAGCTCGTACCGTAATTTCTGCGTCGTTGAATTCGCACACCAAGCCGTTTGTGGAGCCCTTGTCTCCGCCTAATTACACCCTTTATAGGAAAGGTATTCAATCAATTCCTTTCAGAACACACGTAAGTTCGCGGTGCTGAATGGCCCGATATCTCGAGGTAGGGCACACGCGTATAGCATGACAGGCTTATGTTATGGTGCCATTAAGCGAGACAAAACTTATGGTACATATACATCTAGAAGTCGGCTTGCTTTGAAATGGCTGATTTTGTGTGTCTGGGGTTTCAGCCGTTGCGGTAGGACTATTCTCCCGTATTATTTTTTTGTCTTTTAACTTGCACAATTGACACGAATGAGTGTGTCCCGTGGGGCATATCCGCTCCCTTACGACGCTGCGTGAGCAAACGTGCGTCCACCACCACCGGAGAAAAGTGCCGCCTCTTCTGCGCCCGGAGCACTTCTACCAGGGTCCACACCTTTTGCATGTCGGTAAGATTATACAACAAGAAAGAGTGCTTTTGGTGGTCTAGAGCAGCACTCGCACTGCGAATATAACACACAAAAGACAGTTTGCAGGCGTTGTTTGAGACGGGTTTCTTTCCGGTTTAACGTCCCGTCGGCCATACACAAGCTGTCTGTAGACACGGTCGAAGCGTACGCGTGTACGAAGCAAAGGCGCTTCGAATACGCTTGAGGTATGTCTGCAGGTGTATTTTGCATGATGTACAAGCAGTATGACTGCGGCTTAAGTGTACACTAAGAGCACTATCTTTCGTGCTGGGTCGACGCCAAGTTACCAGACAGCCAAGAAAGACGTCAGCGCTGGAAGCAGCACTTCTGCTTCACCCGCGGAGGTGAAGACCGTTTCAGCGCGTAACAGTAACGACGTCTAGGCGGCGGTTGTCCGGCTACGGGGGCATTCATCGGGACGCGAAGGGGAAGGATGTCATTCTGGGGTGAAAGGAGTAGCACGGGGTCAACAGGCGGATTCTGGCAGTGATGATCTCTGGCTCGGCCAGTGCTTGGAGTCGCCCTGCTCCGCCACGGTCGATGCGGCCGACGTGACCACCGAAGATGCCGTCGAAGGTGTCGACGTCGGCGCCGCCGAGGACACCGCCGTCCCCGCGGAAGCCGTGCCCACGACGCACGATGCCGACGGAGAGGACGACAAGGCCCCAGAGCCCATCTTGTCCGCCCCGGAAGAGAGCAGCGACATGGAGGCGCCTCCCGGTACCGCCGATGCCCCGGGACCGAGGCCCTGGCTCAGGTCCGAGGCGCTGGGCATCACGAATGCGGCTGCGGACACGGGCGATTCGGTGCAGGGGTCAGCGACTTGCGAGACGTCGGTCCAAACACTGAAATCTTGCGGACAATCGAGAGCCTCCCCTCCCTTTGCTCGTCGCGCTCACTGTCTTTCTAATACCCTTGTTACACGGGCACACTTAACTGCAGTTACGCTAAACCACAATTAGCGCACAATACTTGCCGACAACATTCTGCGGCGATGCAGTCAGAGCTATGGGCGAACGTGCGCTTGAGCATCTTGAGCACCCATCAAAGCAGTGCACGCGCCCTCTTCACTTCTTTTGAAATAGCTGTCCGAGGGTATAGTGCGGCATCTGTGCTGCCACGTAACCGCAGTTAAAGCTGAGTTAACCGCGGTTAAGTGTGCCCGTGTAACAGGGGTATTAGTGGACCAAAAGCAGATATTATCTCGTGCCCCAGGTTAAGGACCAGTCGAAAAGGAAGACAAAAGATGCAGCACGCGGTTAAACAAAAGACAGCTAAAAATGGGCAGTACTTTGGTCGTACCCGAATAAATCTTTATATGTAAAAAACGAGTCTAGGTCGCTAAACCTCGGTGAAATAGTCGTTTATGTACCGAGACTCCTACCGCGACCTCCAACAAGAACGCCATTGGTTGTCACATCATCGCACGTGCCAGCTAATGAAACGTACATTTTACAGGCGCGGCCACCAAATTTAGCCCACCACCGTCATGCTAGTGACGTTACAATGAAATTTGTGCATAAGTGAGTACTAATTGCTTCAAGCTTGTTTTTCACGCGTGTTTTTCACACTACAGGGAGGGCATAGTTATGCCCTACACCGCATTCTACGTTAAACTCCTGCAGAATAAAGCAGCGCGGTCGATTCGGCACGCACAAAACAACACGTCTTCGTGGACTCCTTGATGCCTAGCCAAGGAGACACTATACTCTGCAAAGGCTGACTCTGCAAAGGCGCAGCGGCTCACCCCTGTTGAGTGGCCAGATGTCGAGCAGGTAGGCGAACACCTCGATGGGCCTCCGGAGGTCGGCGACAGGAGCGCCGCTCTCGGCGTGGCACACCACCACGGGGCCGAAGCATTGGGCAAGGGCGAGGGAACCCATCTTGTTGCGGTCACTGCGGCTGCTCACCAGCTTCAGGTGGTCCAGCAGGAACAGCGCCGTGCACTGCCAAAGAGGGCCGAGACGGTCACGTGACCACACGCATTCGCAGTAAACTCCTTCCACCGCTCTCCACCTTAGAAGAGAGAAGGCAACCTCCTCTCCAGCCTTCGCTCCGATAAGTTGGAATGAGGTGGGAGGAGTTTTCCCTGAACGCTTAATTTGTCCCCGGCTATAAGCACAAAGAAAACATCAAAAACTAAAAATCTGAGATCGTTGCTTTAGGAAATGCATAGCTGCACAAATACTTAAAAAAAGAAAAGAAGCCAATAATTTGGATTATTTGCTCGCGCTTGTCGACCTTTGCAGAACAAGCTAGGGATGTGCTGTGTCTCCTGCCGATCACGGACAGGTTCGTGGACGGTTTTCCCTCCATACGGACGATACTTTAAGTGACTACATCTCGGCTTAAGATGTATAAAAGCTCTCACTACCAGTGGCGTAGCCAGGAATTTTTTTCGGTAGAAGGGGGCTGATGTGGCTGGGATGTCCATGACTTGGGGTGCGGAGAATTCTGCTCACTACAATTCCATTCTTAAAAAAGTGGGAGTGTTTTGACTCTACAAAGTGGGATTCGCACACACACTGCTCCACCAATGACCCTTGGCTCTCGCACTCACCCGATTGACCTTGGGCAGGCAGTCTAGGATGCTAAGCATAAGCTTGGCATTGCCGTCCGGATCGTCTGGCAGGCACACGCTCAGGCCGTCCACCAGCATGTCGAACAGGCCCTTGGTGAACAGCGGCTCGGGGAGCTCGCGGAGGTAATCTTTCAGCAGACCTAGAGAGCAGGGCAAACGCATTTTAACCCAAAAATGGCAGACGCTACGACATCAATGCAACAGCTGGCCCCATATCTTTTGAGGTTCAAGGGGTCTACTCATGTACGTACTTCTGTAGACTAAAGTTCTCAAGTAAGAAAACCGACACGTATGGCAAGCTCATTGAGTTGGAACAAAATGGAGGTTAATTCTGCTGCTGTTTGCCGCCATTCGCTTCCTGAAACCTGCACCGTCACGCAATGGGCGCTTCAAGGAATGGTGTTACTTGTAGGAAGCACGAAGTGCACCTTTTGTCAAGGAGCAGTACTGTACATCTGTTCAACGCTTTTTGCATCCCCAAACTGCTGACTCACTGGGCCAATGCGCGGCGTCTGCTGTTTTTTCGCAAGAGGTCAACATAGCGTACTAAGAAGTCGTTCCACGGCCCAGTGGATAGCAGCGTGCAGAAGGCGATTATTGTCTATAATAGCTTTGGACACGAGAGCCCTCAGTAAAGCTTGCAGTGCTTGATACTTCCAAATGCGGGAAATCTGAGTGTGCAAGCCGGTAAATATTAATGGACGATCTATTTGCCACTTCTTTAATTAATAATGTTACATAGAATTGTTAATGAGGACTGTGGCATTAAGCGCACAAAATACATTTCCTTTTCTGCTACCTCACGCACTAGACGACTTCATCATTTAAACGATGTTCTGTCATTTCAATTTCATCATTGTTTTAAAAATCAGTTCTTTCCACGTGTGGTTGAGGTGTGAAAGTCGGCGGGTCTACGTGCATGTTTGCATACAGTGATCTTAATGTGCGATGGTATTGAAATGTTATTTTCTAGGCTGTTTTTGTAGCGTGAGCTACACTGGCCAAGGTTCAGCAGTTTCGCGTGGCTCGCATAATGAGCCGTGCTCCGTGCTGCGCAAGCGCGACGAGCAGTGACGTCACACGGCGCACAGCTGGCAGGAGCGAGCCACCGTCGCCGCGGGCTCCGCCGCCACCGCGCGCGCCTGGCCGGTCTGCGCAAGCGCGAGGAGCAGTGACGTCACACGGCGCACAGCTGACGTGCCGCAGCCGCCGCCGCCGCGGGCTCCGCCGCCACCGCGCGCGCCTCGGCGGTCTTCGCATTCCAGAGGGGTGACGTCACAGCCGCGGCAGACGCACTGGCGCCGCCGCGTGCCCAGCTGCGTGCCTCCGTTGCGCAGTAGCCAAGTCTGACGCTGCACCGGAGCTGTTTGATAGAGCCTCTCATTTTGCATGCATAAGCTCACGCTACGTATATCCTGGCATAGCCGAGCTAAGCCACCGCATTTTTTTGTTGTTATTTAGCCAATCATTACTGTGAGCCCTTGTATAAGTACAGAGGCTCCCAGCACGTGTGGCGTCGCGGTATGTGCAAATAAAAGACGCCCGCAAGAAGAAAGGTGAGCTCACTGGTGACCACGTTGATGTCCGGCACCTGCTCGGCCGACAGGTCCACCTTCCAGGCGCCCGTGGCGCAGCTTCGTTCAATGGCCTCGCGCAGCATCCGCTTGCGCACGGCCGAGCCGCACAGCCGGTAAATGCCCACGATGTCTAGACCGCGGGCCTCCACCTGGGAGAGGCACGGGTCAGCGATCGGCAGCTTGCGTAATCGTCTTGCGTGTAAGATTAAATAGCCGCATGTTAGTCAGCTTCAAGGGACGTTGCGTGTCTCCGCTGTAGATGAGAGCCTGTGCAGTGTCACAGAAGGACAATGCCTTGGCGATCATTTGATTAGCATCTATAAGAAATACGTCTACCGTAACGTCTCAAATTAACACCACGCACGTTGAACAGATAAAAGGAAAAAAATCTTGCGAATGAACTGTGGCTACAGCAAAATCGTTGCATCCACACAGAGTCACACTCCACACTAACCACAGCATCATGGGACGTCAGTGTCACGTGCCGTGACGTCACGATTACAGGTGATGGTGTCACGTGACAAGGCACTATGACGTCCATGACATTGTGACGTTGTGGTGTCATGTGACGTCACATTGTCATGTGATGTCATAGAGTCACGTGACCGTGACGTCTTGTGAAGAAATTTCTTCACGACGACCCTAGAGGAAACAACCTGGGATCTGCTGCAACAACACGAGGTGGGCGATCTTTCGGTGGTTTGGAATTTTCCGGCGAGAGAGAGAGCCTTACCTGCTGCACACATCGCTGCACGATGAGCGGCACGGGGCCCTTCTCCCGGGCCACGAGGGCGTCGAGGGGCGCCCCGAACATGCCCCCGGCGTAGTTGGGGCTCCGCTGGAAGGTGTGGCGGGGGTCCCTGTAGCGGAGCTTGAGGTACAGCGCCCCGCGGGGCTCCAGCCGCAGGGCCAGGCTGTGTGCGGGCGCCTCGCGCAGCGCCGACAGCAGCTGCACCGTGCCCTTGTAGCACAACTTGTGGCGAGACTGGGGGTCCCAGCTGTACAGCAGGAACGCCACCGTGCGGTTGTCCACGAGGTCCAGCTCGAACACCTGCGCCAGAGGGCAGTGAAACATCGCGGTTGAGAGGAGAGTTAAAGCGGCAGAGGAGGAAATGTGGTACGGAGGTAATGCGACCGAATGGTGAGTTGAAGTAGTTGCTTCATTACACTCTAAAAGCACCTCAAGAGTGGGGCAGAGTAAATGCTACACGAAAAACAAAGTTTGAGATTTAGCGAGGGCCTTCGGCTGTACAATTTAGCGTGTTGCTAGAGAAAGTATACACAGCGATTCTGGAGAGAATCAGGACGGGATCGTTGCAAACTAAGATCTACTTCTGCGGAAAGTATGAGCTGGAACAGGCGCTTCCATCGTCGTAATTTTCAGCGGTATAGCTATTAAAAGGCTCGATGTCTTGTATGTTAGGTAGGAGTTAACGGTTGATATCAAAAGCACTGGATAGGTGGCGCAAGAAGCCGCCCAATTTAGAGGGTTCTGCCGTATCCGTCCATCCACCCGTAGGAGCACCAGGCCGGATTGTCCCCAGCTCTGAGCGTCCCTCAAAAGATACCCTCGAGGATTCGGTTGGTGGCTGCAGTTGAATCGAGTTGATACAGGGTATAGGGCAGGGCAGGATGGCGCGGGTCGTGGCGCACCTCGTCCCAGTCGAAGCTGTGGTCTCCCGAGCGGACGACGGTGCGCGCTTTGTGGGCCCGGTCCGTCTCGATGACGCAGTACAAGTCCCTGGGGCCCTGGCCGCGGAGGCCCCGGGCGCCCAGCAGGTGGAGCCACAGCAGCCCGCTGAAGCCCCCCGCCAGCACCGACTCCGACTCCTGCGAGCGTGGGACGGGGCTTCTTAGAAAGCTTCTGAGGGTGCGAGAGAAGCGAGGCCACGGCACACCGGGGAAAATTACAGAATGCTAAAAGCGAGCGTGCTGGAAAGGGCTTGCAATGTATGGCCATCCCCTGATTCTTTAATGAAAAAACAAAACTAAGACCTTTCTCGCAGTTATTTATACACCCCCTCTCCTCGACTGAAACTAACCGCCCCCCCCCTCCCCCCCCTCTCCCAGAACCTCTACCTTTCTGATCTTTTCGTTCAAAGCTTGTGGGAGCAAGAGTCTTTCACCACGGCCAGAGGCCGCTGCCGAATGCCCAAACTGGACAACGGCCGAGGCGCGCAATAGCGCACGTAGGACAAGCGCAGAAGCCTATAAAGGAGGGCACACGCCCACAGAAAGGAGGGAGAAGGACCGGCGGCACGGAGACGCGTAGGTCGAATGCCCGGCATTATTATACTTTATTACTACCAACCCTTTGATATCACGTTAATAAATGTAGTTTCTCGTTTTGGAAACCCCGGCTTCGTGTTGTTCCTCCCGGATGGGCACGCAGCAAGGCAACCCTACCACAAGCTACAGGATCAGCCCGCGCGGGGGAGCCACTCGCCTTCTCCGGCCTGTACTTGAGAAACTCCCTAGGGTTGAGACACAGGGCTCTGTCCTCGGCGCACACGTAGTCGAGGCTAAGGGCGTGCGGCAGCCGCAGCGGGCGCGGGAAAAGCAGCGACGACGAGCGGCCCATGGGACGCAGGGTTGCGGCCGCGCCCATCTCCAGAGCCGGGTGCCAGCCCCCCGCCCCTGGCAGCAGGCCGCTCGCAGACATGGGCATCATGCCGCGGTGGTGGTGCTGCTGTTGCTGCTGCATCTCCATCCGGTGCTGGTGTTGCTCCTGCGATGCGTAAACCCGGTGATTCGTTTCGACAATCGGCAAAACAGTCATGGCGCGGGTGAGCTGGTGTAGATTTACCATTTTCTTAAACCACTTGAGACTAGACGGACACCGAGAAATGTCCGGAGTGGAAGGCAGAAGAACAGAAAGACAGAGGCAACGTCTGAAAAACACGTTGCTTTTCGTCTTTTTTTTTTCTTCCCTTTCGAAATTTCTTTTGTTCTACAACTAGTCTCAGGTGGTTAAAGAAATTAGGCGTTTAAACGTTGCAAGTAACCACGCTCCAGAATCTACTATGAGCGCCAGTCTGGCAACAGTGGGCACGCCAGACTCTACTATTGGACGATTTGCACACGCCACCAGAGACCGTACCCGTAAACGTCTGTAGATAGCAGTAGGTTAAAGACTTTGGCGAGCTGGTTTTGCATGTCGAAAGTTCGCAAATTGTTCTTGTACAGCGAAGATATATGTGGTCGTATGTTAGGAAAGAGTGACCCGCCGCTCTGTGAGTATCCGTATAACTTATTGGCTTCGATTTTAGGTACACTTCGTCCAGCGGAGGCTTCCCCGCACTATAGGTTTGCCTGTGGAAAAGCAAGCTTCTCAGGAGACCATAACAACTAGATCTTTTACAAATATCCGAAAGGCCGCGCGCAATGCGTGCAACGAATTATGGGGACGTCCTGTATTGCTCCCCTCAGCATCTACCACATGACAATGAAAAGAGCGAGGAGAAAAAAGAAAGGGGGGGGGGGGGTTCAGTGCAGCCTTTTCTGGCCTTCCTCCTCCCCGTCATGTGCATTTCTTCAGTTGGCATTTCTTTCGTCACCGCAAACGACACTGTACTCTTTGTAAATGGCCTATTTATAAATTTTTACAACTACAATTATTCGTATTTAAAAAGGCTCTCCGCCTCTTCTCCTCGCGTTCTCTTCTGTTTGAGACACTAATTTTTAATATATTCCCTACGTTGTTAGAGTGGCGGACGGTCGTTTGAAAACGACGGGTTGTTTGTTCTAATGCTTGGTAGACACAAAAAGCGAGCACCTTGAATGTCCTCCAAGTCAGTCGGAACCCTAAAGGGCACATTCAAGTTTTGGAGCCCTTTTTCTACGCGGATGTCGCGGCGCAAAGAAACCGCGAGAGGTCAGTTCGTAGGAAGGGGGGGGGGGTCAGCAGAGTCTAGCGTGTGACAAACACCTTTCCAGCGCTTATCACCTAGGCGAAAAATGTAGAGTTACTGGGTTGTAGGCAGAAATACAAAATTTTCAGAAATTTTGACAGCCGAAGCGAAAAAACAAACGAACAAATTTCTGGAAATTTTTGGAAGCATTTGCAAATCTTGGCAAGAGTAATCCAGCATTTGTTTTAAGATACCGACATAGATGAACAACAAGAGTTTTTTTTTTTGTCAGTTTTTGCTGTAATAATATATCTTTATATTATTTTTTTTAATATTTATGAGAGTTTTTTTCTCAATTTAACAAAGTTCTGACTGACTATCTGGTGTCAATACACTCTCCATTATACTAAACGCTGTTTTGGGTTTACTGTAACGGTTAACTAGCAGCCACCTTTCGTCAATAATGATGTTATGTGACAGAAAAATGTGTACGCTGTGCCTGATATTCGGAGAAGAGAGCTACTGCGCATGCCCAGTACGCGTAGCACAGCCCAGTAGACAAAAATGGCGGCGCCCAGAAGGCGCCTTCTCCGGCTAATTTGTTTACCACGTCAAAAAAAAAAAAAAATGTCGATGACGTCATCTGTGACGTCATATGTGGCCCCATCGGGCCCTTTTGTGACGTATATGGGCGGTATGGGGCGCTAAACACACGAGTCCGGGACGCGGGCAGCGTATCGGGGAACGGCCAGTACCTGTCTAAGGGAGTCGAGCAAGCTCTCGGCGCTGTGGGCGACCCTGGGCAATGGGCGACGCGGCAGCGAGGCCGTGCCGCCCAGCGTTGCACCCTGGGGCGTGAGCCTCCCGACGCGCTCGTACAGGGCCGAGGTGGACGGGGCTCGGCGCATCCAGGCCCGGTACTCAGCCGACGAGAACACGCCGGGCAGTGGGCCTCCGGTCAGGACGCTGCCGCACGGAGACCCTGCAGCGGGAACGGGCACCGACGTCGGACGAACTAACAAGAACCACGCATACAGAGGATCCACTCACTTCGTCCCAAGATTCCGGATATATTACTGGTGCCGTCAAATACGTTCGCGAGCAAGAGGATGTAGCATGAAATTCTCTAGGATGAAGCGTCTTGATATGAAAGATATAAGGATAAAATGTATTCGGGATGAAGTGCCTGGGATGAAATGTCCGGAATGGACTGTCCTGGGATGAAGCGGTACCACCTGAAAGACAAGGCCTGCGCATGACGTCTTCCTTAGTGGATCTCCAAGTGGCAAACAGGCCGAAGCTCGAAAAAAGTCACCGTGAGGTGGCAGACGCATCCGTCTTGACGACGCAGTGTGATAGCGTCGCGCTCGTCGCGAAACGCTGCACGACGCGCTAGCGGCGTTGCTGACGCAAGCTAGGAGGTGTTCCGTGGAACCACTACTGACGACGTCAGGGAAAGCAAAGGCCTTGTTTTCTAGGTAGTTTCAGATGAAGTGACTTCAGATGAGATATGGTACAGCCAAGTGTGCAGCGAACCCAGCGGGAAATGGCACGGCCTAGCGACCAAAACGTGAAACAGAAGAAAGGTGATAGAATGCACGCCGCTGGAGTTGTGTAGTGATGGGTGCTGCCTCACGTGAGCATCTGTCTGCCTTTTGTCTCTGCCTCCCCATCTTTTCTAAAGAGAAAGACAGCAAAGCGCAGCTAGCAGTCGGGTCCAAGCCCACCTTTGGGTCTCCGGGGCCTCCCCTGGGCGGGGAGCTCGGGCGCCGAGAGCGCCCCGTCGCTGTCCTCCTGGGAGTCGTAAGCGGCACGCTCGAAGCGAACCCCGTGCCGGAAGCCCCTCCGGGGGTCCAGCACCCCGAGAGCCACGCCCCGCGGCAGGGAGTTGGAGCGGCCGGACAGCGAGCGGCCCCCCGGGGGCCCCACGCCGGGCCCCAGCGTGCCGGGCCCCATCAGGGGACCCTGAAGGGGCCGCCGGCCGGACTGCACCTGTGGCCATTGCATGTGGCCCCCTTCTATCACAAAGGGGAACTCATAGGAACGACAACCGACGCAATAGAGCATTTTCAAAAGTACATCGAGCAACATTGGCGGTCGCCATTTCTTGGGGCACGAAGCGTGTGATTGGATCCGAGTTCGCGCCGAACGCTGACGTCACACTGGTATCCAATTCATGCTCAGAGCACGTTTACGAGCAATGCCGGACAGGCAATGGCGCGTACTTTTGAAAAAGGTCTATTCGTTGTTTAAATAAAATGATCAGACTAATATAGACTAATATGCCAAGCAGGTTTCCCAGAAAAAGTTGGAAAAAAATGTAAAAAGTATACGACAAAAAGTTCAGGCAAAAGAAGGGTTAAATTGAGACTTGGATTAGAAGCACCGTGATCTGGTTACAAAGGTCAGCGAACTTCGAAACGTCTAAGAGTCCGGGCGTGCGTTCTGCACCATACAATGTCGATCATGTGGATCTGCTCTTAATGGTTCGTCGATGGGCCTCCTAGACGGCAGCGGACAACACGCAGTGGGAACCTCACTGATGGGAACGGCGGGGAGATTCTCCAGTTGTCCCGCCTCCAGGGCGAGCTTTCCGCCTTCGATATTGTTTCGGCGTCCCGGCGGCTACATGCGCAGCCAAAGCACGGTGGAGGGCAACGAGCGCGTGCCGAAATTCGGGTATTCGAAACAGACTCGGTGGCGTTCTCATCCGGCCAGTGACCATATCCACCAATTCTGACGTCAAGGCGTCGGTGCTGTCGGCGCGTGCGTAGACGATTAAATTCGCGCGAGTTTCTGCGCATGCGCAGTGCCCGTACATGCTGTGGGCAAACGCTGATTTGTTTGTAAACAGCATGTATAGTGATAAGGTGAGTAGAGGAAAGGTCTTCCTGGCGACCGCGGTGTCCGTACCTCCGTGTCGGAACAGCTCTCCATGAGGGAGCGTCGGCGCAGGATGCCTCCCGGTTGCTGCGGGTGCATCTGGCGGTGCATGGAGCCCGCCGAGGGCCGCAGAGAGTAGTACCGCCCGGTTCCGCCCAGCAGGTCCGGCTGCATGAGCCGCTGCTCGCTCTCGGTGCGGAGGAGCCGCCTCGCCGTCATGCCCCGGTCGTGCTCCTGCCAGTATCTGCAGAGGGTCGGCTGTCAACGATGCGGACACTGCGTCGCGAGACTGGGCTGAATCGCGGCCGCATAAAGTATCCGCTCACTCTCATCCTTAGATGCGCGCCAAGTGGACCTGGATCTGTAAGCTACCGCGATTAGATAACTGCTTGTCGATTGCGGTTCAGCCGCCATTGTGACCCAATCTTTAGGGGCGGAGAACGTGTAATGTAAGGAAGTGGAAGCACGGCGTTCTTGCCACTGCCATGCTTCTACTGCACCGCCAGCTTAATAATCTACAGGCACCCTCAACTAAGATCGAGTGGGGCGTTCTCAGTTCCGCTGACCGATTGTCCGTATGCAATCTGAAATATAATAATCGACGAATACAACGCGTGATCAACCGATTGTGTTCTACATCACGGCTCTAAGCTTCCCGGTGAAGTGTCTCGTTGACTCAACAGCGAACTTTAGTCTGACTGTGGCGCAATTCTTGCCCTCCTCAAGCGTATATCCGTCGAGCTTCAAGGCGCGAATCTCAACTCTGCCAAGACGGTGAGCACGGAACAGGTCCCAGACCTGTTGCGTGCTTCAGAAGAGCTCTCGAGACGTGGGCTTCCCCGGAAGGCGTGCACTTGTTCGGCGAGCCCTTCGAGCGTCCTCGGGTAGCGGTGCGGTGGCCCGCACGGCTCGGGTTGCCTGCGGACGGGGCTCGCGTAGCGGGGCTTCTCCTGGGCCGCCCACTGCAGCTCCTCGTCGGCCTCCTGCACGCCCCTTTTGACGATGACCACGGGCGGACGCTGCTTGTCCGCCGATGGTGGCAGCGGTGGCAGCCCCCGCGCCGCGCCTTTGGACCGCACGGCCAGGACGAGCCTCCGCGGGATAGACATGATGATGACCACGTCGTCCAGGCTCATGTTGCGGACGTCCACGAGGTTCACGGCCAGGATCTCGTCTCCGACGCGGAGCAGCCCGGAGTGGTAGACGGCGCTCTCCAGGGCGATCCTCGAGATGAAGACCCCTTCCTGCGTCCGGATGCCGTCGCCCTCTCGGATGTACAGGCCCAGGGTCTGTCCTGGACGCTTGACGATCTCGACGAAGGCCGTTCCGCCCTGTGCGTAGCGTCTGGCGGCCTGGGCGCCCGCGCGGCCCAGGGCTCTGGGGTCCAGGAGGCGCACGACCATCTCGCCCCGCTTCTGCACGGCTTCGAGGTGCGCGGCCGTGGTGGCGTCGAACTCCCGCTCGACGGCTTCGATCTGGCGGAAGACGTCGCTGGAGATGCCGCTGACCTTGCGGAAGTCCCCCTGGAGCACCATCTCGGGCGCCGGGGCGCCCGGTGCCAGCCTCGGTCGCCCTCCGACGCCCACGCGAGGACCCCACGTCTCGCTGCCGCCTTCCACGCACACCACCAGGTCGCCCTCGTGGTTCTCCTGTCGGAAAGGGACCGCCATGGAACGCGGTGAAACAGTCAGTTCTTCGGGCCTCTTTCTAATAGTTATATAAATAGAAATATCGCTGTGCCACGAGAATTGTTTGTAGCGGGAACTTTATAAAAATAATCAATTACGCTTGGGGCTCTAAACTCGTCAAACACAAAGTAGGGGCCGAACATCACGGAGCGCACCGATTGGACTATAATTACAACGACTGCAGGCGTCAACTTCGGCGTGCTCCGCGAACGTTCGGCTCAAACTTTTGTGTTTGGCAAGTTTAGGTCCCCTGTAGCAACACGCTTTTTGAGAAAACATAAACGCGGAAGTAAGAGACAAAGGCGATGGTCGAGAAATGTTTCTGAAATGTTCATAACAGTTCTAATGCGCGATGAAGGAACATATTTTTTTGTTTTCTGATTTTATTAACGGACAACTCCTGTTGTACCGCGTACCGCAGTACCACAGTGACATCACGTCGCGGCCGTACGGCTGATGATCGGCGTTGCAATCCCTCTAGCAGATAGTTTCGGTTTTGACGTAGACGTCCAAAACCAAACTTTATGCCGTAAAAAAAAAAAAAAAAAAAAAAAAAAAAAAAGCTATACACGATATTGAAAGAAAATAATAATAATAATAATACATTTAAGTCATTTACACTGCTTTAGTTAAAAACAGTCGTAATTTCAATTAAAAAGTATTGACCGGGGTTGCCCTTTAAGCCTTTCTCATCCGAAGAACTCTTCGTGGGGCACTGGATATCTTAAGGAACTGATTTTTCTCAGAAGGAATGTTGTGCGCAACAAAAACTTCCGCGCTAGCATTAGTTTCCCAATTAAAAGCATCGAAACTGATTACATAAGCATAACCGAAGAAGAGATAATTTTTGAATGCTCACTCAGGACTAAACTTTCTTATACGTGTGTGAACTGAGCACCAGGAAGCAAACTCTTAACTCTGTAAGATTACACTCAATGTGCTCTTTGGGAGGCTTAGAACGCGCGTACGCAGTGTGCAAACGGACGTTACAACTTCAAAACCGCGAAGAATGTCTAACCAACACGCTTTTCTTTCTTCACTTTAACCGAACTCTATAGGTGCATTCACACTGGCACTCGAATCCCAACCGCAAACCAGACCCGCTTATTTCTATCATCAAACGGGCTTGAAATCACAATGAATCTTTAAGCGATCGCGTTCTCAACCGCTTTGCGAACGCGGTTCAACCGCCAGTGTTCATACGGTGTAAGAAAGATCTTAGCCCCCGCCGAATGTATTTCCACTCACAGAGGTTTTCATTTTTATTATATTTTACCTTTAAGAAACACCAAAAGATAAGTGCTTCCCGTGCGGAAAAATTACAAGTGCCTCCCTATTCGTACACACACCGGTAATTTCACTTGTTTGTCATGTATTTTCCTTCATGTAACCTCCCTACAATAATGCCCCCTGGGCGATGTAGGTATGTGTATAAATAAAGATAAATAAATTGAACGTTAACAAAAGAAACTCCTACAGCCGGAGTATGAACTTTCCTTGAAAGAAGGTATATACACGTGTCTCGTGTCATGTTTGTCGTGCGAACGAGCTGACCTGAGAAGTTAAAACACTCGCTCCTGTTTTCATTTGAGCCCAAGTAGCACAGATGTCACCTGCACGTCCTGTAGATGTCTACGGTAGGACGTCCGCGGAACCATATGTGTGCCACCAGGGACGACGTTTGCGTGGCAGTGCAGAGCCCGAAGAACAGAGAAGAAGGTGTGGAGGAGGCGCACCTTTTTGCGACCGCAGCAGAGCATCCTGGCGGCAATGATATGCTTGACCTTTTCTCCTAGGCGGGGCGGCGGGCGTCCAGGCGGGTGGTTCATGTGTGCGGCGGGGAGGCCTCAGGTCAGGCTCACACTGACGTCGTCCGCTCGCCGGCCCGCTTCCTGCGTATACACCACACGGGGGCCTCACCAACGAGCCAGAAGGCTGCCCGCGAAAAAAGACGGTCATGTAGCGGAGATATGCGAGGCTTGCATTGACGCCACATCAGCCGCCATTGCTCCGTACCATGCGTTTGGCCCCGTACCTTCTGCTCTATACACGTCTTTCATTCGAAAAACTGGTCTTCCTCTCGTCCTTACGTAGGTCGGAAGGATTAACGTTCTCTGAACTTCTCGGCGGGAATTGTCTTAACATACTTCTGGCTGTGCTGAAATTGGCAGAGTTATTGAACACCTTAACGTGATCTCTATGCCGATTTTGTATTCGTATGACCGAAGCCCAACTTATTTACTCCTTTCTCATATAGATTTTGAATATAAGTTTGCTTACGTTACTTTATTGTTTAGCATGGCTCGTGATCTGAAAAGCTGTGCTTATGGTGGTTACGAGAAATCAAAGAGCGAGTGAGGGAAGCTACTCCGAAGTGACCAAACAGGTGAGCTGGTATGAAGACAGCGATGGATTTGAGACTTGACTGTTGTCCCTCTTCGTAGATAACATACCGCGATTTGGGTCTACATAGTGAGCGAATAGGAATATACCACTAACTCATAAACCAACTAATGAATAACTCAGTGAATTAACGCCATAGCCCATGGGTCGACTCGCTCCCTGAAACGTGAAATATTTGTTGACGCAGTGCGCATGCAGAGCTCATACTTTTGTAGTCTAAATAAGACCGTTTGCTTTGCCTCCTTCTATAGAGCTATATCTTTCGCGTCCACTGTAGGTGGTCTACACAAAGGCACTTCCCCCGTTCGCTATTTCGAGAACCACCAAAAACAGAGTTTGCAATGGTCTCTTTCCTGCGTCGTATGACCGACAGCAGCTCCTGAACTGCCGTTACTCCCGTTTCAGACGTCGTTTAGACGCAAAAGGGTAATTAACCTATAAGGCTACCGTGTTAGCAAAATATAACGCAGACAAGTAAAAGTACGCCAACACGTAAGACAGACTGTAATGTAACAAAAACAACAAAAAAAAAAGCGTTGACATCCCTAAGATTTTTTGTCACACGTTTCGCCATTTTCTTATCTATAACTCAGCTCCTTAGAAAGCCGAACCGGCCAAAAAAAGGAACACCGAAAAAACACCAAATAAAACGAGAATAAAAAAATGAAATTCCGCTGTAATCCGGAAAGAGAAGAAAAATCCCTAACGAGGTTAAAGGCTCTAATTTCACCCGTTAAGACATTCGGTGCGTTAATTACTTCGAGGCGAAGATAAAAATAAAAAGGTGCCGAAAAGATCTGGGTACAGATTTCGAAGAAAAAAATAAAACGTGGCGTTCTGGGCCATTCCGTTTTATTGCTGTTTAACTCTTCGCGGCGGTGCGCAGTTGCTCCCGTGGAGAGGGGCAGGGAGCAGACGGATCTAGATCTGCTTCGAGACTTTTTTTTCCCTTTTCGGGGCGCGCGTCTCTCCCACTTTCCCTTCCTTTTCATCCCCATAATTCCCTCACCGCCGTGCCACAACCCGTCAAGGGTGCAACGACCTTCACCGGCATCGATCTATCGCTGCCTCTCTTTCCTCCTCTCCACTTGCGTCGAGTCACGTGGCCTGGCTCACCCAGTCAAAACAGCGACAAAAAAATAAATAAACCCAAGCATGGTGAAAGCGATGTTCGAAAAGCGTACCCGTGCACAAATAATTTATCCAAACAAATGAGAAGTATAGCGAACTCGGGGAAAAAAACTCGCGGAGTTTGCGGAGCACAATACCCGTGGCAAACGTGGCGAATTTCGACCGATCGCGATGTGACTTGTTCCAGCGGAGCGTCCACAAACCAGAAAACGTTCGAGTTCGAAAGTTACAAACTTTTTTTTAATGACGAGGTTGAAAATATTTAATACGTCCCCTATGGAGCAACCAATTTTTTTATATATACACACATTTGTCAATACAAAACGCAGCACACCGTTACTGTTTTTTTTATTTACTTTATGCGCAGTTCCTTTCCATTGTGTAAGGACATTTCGTCCTCCCACGCTTGAACTTGTAAAGTTCCGCAGTGTAAGAAACAAAAATAGAACATAAAGCAGTACACAAAAGCGATCCCAACTGAAGTGCACCAGTGGCGCCTCTGCGAGAGCGATACCTCTCATGGAAGGGGCCAAGATATCGTTCGCAGACGACCGTCTGCTAACGCGAGTGAAGGACAGCGTTTTCTCTTCTATGAGGTGGCATTCGTAGACGAAAATAAAACACGAAAACACTACGCGTCATGTGCTAACACAACCGGGGAAAGAAAAAAAAAAACTGAATTATTTGTTACCAGTTAATACCAACAGGCAAGGTGATGAAACTCAAGCTTGAACTGTGAACGCCTGTCTCTTCGCAAACAACCCAAACTTCCTTTGCAAATCTTAACTTGTTTTGTTGTACTAATGATGAAATCCACCAAAAGATCAAGTCCCCGTAAAAGTAATAAATCGCGGCAGCGAGACCTTTCTCACTGTTCGTGTGTGGGTGAAAAGTTACCACCAAAAAACTAGCCAAAAGTAAACTCGCGAACAAAAAAAAAAAACAAAAAAAAAACTCAATAATTAACATTTGCCAGAAATAAAAAAAGAAGGTGCGTTGTTCCGTTTATTTAGCAGCCCAGAAAGCTCTCGGTCTTTCTTGACTCTAAAATCGGTCCCCTAGCCGAAGAGGGTTCGTAGAGAGCCTAGGTTCTCGTCCATGCAGCGTCTATGAGCAGCTCTGTAACTGAGCTAATCTAATAACGTTGGGATCCACTAAAGATGACGTCACGCACAGGCCTTGTCTCCTCGGTGGTATTGGTATCGATGGAGCGGTCGTAAACACTTTCAGATCTAGGCACACTAATTGTTTAACTCTAGCAAACGACGCAAAAAAAAAAGGGCAACACTTTCTTAATTTTAGTAAATACAGTGAGTGCTGTTGTTTTCTTTTATAGAGCTTTACAGTGACCGACGCTTGTGCGTGCGTTCATTGGGGAGCTTTTAGTCACAAAACGGGATTGGTAGCTGAAACTGCGTACTCACTTAAAAAAACGCTCGCGGAGGTGTAGTACTCCTTTGTGTAAGACGCACTTGCAGTAAGCACGAACAGTCGTCATTGTAAAAAAAGAATTATAAGCTAAACTTTGAATTCACTCCTTTTACGACAGCGAAAGCTGCATATGGGGCTAAAAGACAAAATGATTCGGGTTTTTTTTTTTTTTTTTTTTTGCGATCACTTGCGTCGGAGTGAACAGTCATCATTCGTTAGACTGGTAAAACCCCATCAAGATTTTGGGTGCACTGGCTTTTATTGTGGTCAAAGAAAGATCAGAGAGAGAGAGAGACAGGTGGAGAGATATAAATTTATTCGAACCTTGCATGTCCGGGCTGTCTAAAACGTCAGGTACAAAAGTTTCTTTAGCTTGTCGGCAGTGGCCGCAGCACACTGATGCGTCATCTAATCAGTCAGCTACCATTTTGTAGGTCAGTCAACTGTTTCGTTCTATACAGAGCAACTAACCATGAAAAAACATCATACAAAAGACAATTTTCATTCAAATTCGGACGAGAGTCACCGCGAAATCCGAGCTTCGAATGCCGCATGGCAATGAGTTCAAGGAGAATCTTGGCCCACTGCATTCGAACCACGGATATTGCGGTGAGTCGTGTTCGCAGGCTGTCTTTTGTATCATGTATGAGCATTGGGAATCCGGCTTTAAGGTTATACATGTTAATTAAATATGTATCTGCGCTTATTACACTACCTGCTACTCATATGTGTAATTGTATACTCGAAAATAATATTTTTCCTGATCAAATAAAAATAGCGAAGGTTTCAGCGACCTGTAAAGGTGGCTGCAAAAGCGACCTAGGTATACAAATATCGGTGTTTAACCGTTGTGCTGTAAAATAGTTGAAAAAATAATTAACAAAAGGTTTCTATTTTTTTTTTTTTGATGTACAGTATTATAATTAGGGCTCCGTGTTTTCGGAGTTTATTTTCATGAAATTCGGAGGGCGTTCTTATAAAAAATTCGGTGTTTATCGGAGTTTATTTTACGTAAATCCCCGATTCTCCGAAATTCGGAGATTAATTTCGGAGTGTTTCCCATTAAAAAAATAATAAATAATAACCGGATGCAAACGTATGCCGGATAAAAAAATAAAATGCGCTTGTATCAATTAAGATTTCTTTAGTTTAATTTGGCATTGGTGGTCATTGGAAATACTAATTTTGTCTCCCGATAAAAGTCGCTCACAGGTGTGGCTTCAATAAACGCCGATACCTTAAAAATCAATAAACTGCCGGAGGTAGCCGCAAGGAAGCTCGTAGTCATCCTATCAATCTATCCCGCGGCCGCGCGAGGTAGAGTGGTTAAGGATGTAATAGAGAAGTTTCAACTGCCCCTCTTTCCTATATTATACAATCTCTATGGTCCATAGCTTTAACTGTTACTCCCAGAAACATACTTTCTCATTTCTCTAAATCCTGAAACCCATGGCCCAAACTGAAAACCAAAAAAGCGGTTCTTGTCATGAGACGAATGGTTCGATGACCTGTTTTCCTGAGCCAACCTTGACGAGACAAGCCGTAAGACCCCCTTTTGAGAACGGTCCGAGGCTTGAAAGATCATTATGGTGTCGTTTTCCCAGGACCATTGATCCTGCGCTGCTCAAGTTGTAAAATATATATATATACTTTTTTTTTGTTGTTTTGCTCTGGGGAAAGGGGAATAACAATTCGGAGTTTATCGGATAAATCCGAATTGACAAAAATTTTATCGGCGGGTGTTTTTCGGAGTTTTTCGGATTTATCCGAAAACACGGAGCCCTAATTATAATTAAAGAACAATACAGATTCCAGAAGGAAAAAAACAACCGAACTCACACTCCTGTATATTCATGACAAGATA